AAAGGGTGGCTTTAGCAAGGCACATGGCACCTGAGGCCTTTTTACTGGGTCTGGAAAGGCAGGCTTTTAGCTTTGGGTCTGGGAACCATGCAGGGGTATCCCTAGACATGTATCCTAGTCATTTTAGCTCGCTAGAGTCCTTCCACCTGGAATGCCACGCTGCACAGAAGGACACGTGTACACCTCTGACCCCCAGTCGACACTCACAGTCTGGAAATGGTCCTGCCTCCTGCTTGCCCTCCGCACCTTGGATACAGCGACGCCCACACCTATCTTGTGGTCTTGGCGCCCGGATAGCTGTGAATCCCTACGTGGGAAGTGACCATGTTCCTTTTAAATTCTCTGTGGCGTCTTTTACCTATTGGGTGCTCAGTAGATTTGGATTGAAGACAATTATGCGTTCAGAGAACTAGGCCAGGAATCCTCTGCTGCTTATCCTATACCCGGCTCCCTTGTCTTCCGGTGGAAATGGGAGACTTGAGCCAGGACTCTCAGTGGGGAAGCGGTGGTGCATGTCCATCACCTAAGGGACTGTTGATCCTCAGGTAACTGTTGCCACCACAACAGTGTGTAGCAAACCATCCCAAAGCTTGAAGCTTAACATAATAAGCGTTTATTTTGCAATTTAGGCTGGACGTGGCTGGACAGTTCTGGTCTTGACTGGGCCCCTTCCTGTGCCTGGGATTTGACAGGTTTAGCTGGTCTAGGATGACCTCAGCCCTCACAGCTAGGGCAGCTCAGGTGGACTCCATGTCTCTCATCTTCAGCAGCCTGGCCTGGGCATGTTGTCACAGCAGAAGCTGAGGAGCTAGATGAGAGGAGACTACCCCTGTCACAATTGCTGACATCTCATTGGCCAAAGCGAGTCACAGGGCCAAGTTCAGGATCAAGGGGCTGGTGGGCAGATACACTCCAGCAGTCGATGTGAGGAGTGGCAAAGGTCTTTGGATCCCGGGAGGTGTGGGAATTGGGGCAGTTACTGCAATCAATCTGCCTCCGTGGACCCCATGTCTCCACCTTGGTTGAGAACCCTGGGCTGCATGATCACTAAGGCCCCTCAGGGCTCTGGCTTTTCTCCTGGCCAGAGGGATAAAAGTCCGGAAGAGGTAAGAAAGACAGCTTTGTGTTCGTGGTTCCTGCAGAGGGCGCCAAGCCCAAGCCAATGGCTCCTCTAGGCGGGCACTTCACTCTGTACACTGTGTGTAGTTTGCTAACCTACCCTTTCCAACCCAAAGCACCACTCTAGTTACCTATTGCTAAACGACAAACTGCCCCGAAACTTAGTGGCTTAAAACAACCACCATTTGATCTGATGGAATCTTTTGGTTAAGAATTAGGACAGAGCTTGGCTGGGCAATCCTGCTTCTTGTGCTTCAACTGAGTCACTCAGTTGGCAGATGGGCAGGCGTGGTGAGTCCAAGCTGGCCTCACTCACATGTCTGGCGCATGGTGGGTGGCTGGAAGCAGGCTCATTTGGGGCCATACATGGCCTCTGTAGCAAGGCCATCTCAGGGAGGCCATCTTACGCGCTGGCTGCCTCCCCCTAGGACAGGGGTTCTGAAAAGCTGCGTGGCCTTTTATGACCTAGCCCAGAAGGCACAGGCATCACCACCGCAGTGTTCTATTGGTCAAAAGCTCACCTAGATTCAAGAGGAAGGGACATAGACCTCCCCCCGGCTTTAATGACGAGTATAAAAAAGCCACCCACCCGAAGTCCCCAGCTGTCTTCCCTGTGTTTTTTGCCTAGTCTTCTGCAGTTGTTCTCAGATGAGACATCTCCCCAGAGCAGGCTCTTAGGTCCCTGGTCTAGCAGCATCAGCATCCCCTGAGACCTTGTTAGAAACCCAGATTTTCAGGCCCCACCCCAGACCTGCTGAGTCAGAATGACAAGCCCTTCGGGTCATTCTGATGAACCCTAAAGCTTGAGAACCATTGCTCCAGGACACAGCACCCTTGGTGAGTCTCAAGTGATGACCCATGACCGCGATGACTGCCTTGAACTTCCCATCTAGGTAGGTGTTGGATGAGGGTGACTTGGGGTGGGGCACCCATGGAGTGTGGTTCTGTGTATGGGTTGGAACATCAAAGACAAAATTCATCGTTGCCTTTGAAGAAGTTACTGGGGGCAGAAGTTCACTGTGACATGGGCCCCTTTACCTTCCTGTGAAGGGAGTGGGGCAGGGGGAAGAGAGGGCAGGGGAAATAGCTGCTTCCTTCCTTTGGTGAGGTTTCTCGGAGACTTGTCAAAAAGTCCGCCGCCTGGGGCTGAAAGGAACTCAAATGCGCCACGAAAGAGAATGCCCCTCTGATATGGGCAGTGTGAGTCCTCTTCCTCTATTTCTCGGGCAGGCGGGTTGGATGAGGTGGGATGGGGAATCCTTAACTCATCACTCTCGTGTGGTTTGCACCCCTCCCAGGATGGTTCAGAATGAATATGCGGGTGGGGGACCAGCCCACACCCTGGACCCTCTGTGCCCATGGTGGTAACTGGGCTGCTCTAGTATAATAATCTTGGTGCATCGCCAGGGACCTCGAGCTGTGTGTGAGCCCATTGCTACCACACAAATGGAGGATCTGCGTTTCGTTGAAAATTTAAATTGCTTCACTCCGCTACAGAGGAGGGCTGGGGCAGACAACCCAAGTAAAGCAGTCACTGGGGTGTAAGCTGGCCCACTGATTATAATGAGGTTTGGAGAATCTTAAGCAATTTGACCCATATGTGCCCTCCACACCCCTACCTATTAGGGTGATGGATGGACCCATGTGTCTGCCCCAAGACGCTCAGAAACTTTGTCCTACCATCTTCCCAGGCACTGGTTCCTATATCTCAGTTACCAAGTTCCCTTCAGAGACCTTACTTAGCTTACAAGTTTGTCACATTTGCCCCATTCCTGCTCCCCAATATATCCGGTCCAGCAGCCACCCCTTCCCCGCACAGCCTATGTGCTTCTGGCGAATCCCCAGGGGGTGCGCTAAGGGCAATCTTAAAACCTTCGCCGCCCGGGGTTCAGGAACCCAGCTGTGATCTGATCAGCAGGCAGCGTTCTGACAACAGGAACCGGTTCACGAATGGGCATGTGACCCAAAACATGCCAACGAGGCTCAAGGCAAGATTTGCTGGGGACTCCTGGGGGGAAAAAAACTTCTTGAGAGCCACTGGAATAGATGTTCTCTCTTCCTGTGGACGTTACAAGGTCCAGATGTTAGCCTGAAACCGTAGTAGTCAGCTTGGGACCACCCTAAGGACTGAATTAACAGGAGAGATGCAAATAGCTGAGAGGCTAAATCAAGCCGAGAAGTGGAGCGGGAGCCTTGACTGAACCTCGCCTGATGGCCACTCCACTCCTGGAACTTATGAGTTATATGAGCCAATAAATTCTACCCTGTGGTTTATATCATACTTAAGTTGGATTTTCTGCTACTTGCCAACAAAAGCATCTGGACTGCCACTGCCTCCTTTGGTGACAATATCTGAAGGCCCTGTCATATTCTCAGCCATGCCACGTGACAGCTTGAGAGTAGCCAGCGGGATCCATCACCCCTCCAAGGACATACCCCGTCACAGCTGGAGGGCAGAATCCACACTCACCAGCGGTTAGAGTTGGAAAATTCAACCTCTGTCTCAGGTCTCTCAGGTGAGGAAACTGAGGCTTTGGGAAGTGATGACCCAAGTATGAACGGGTAAGGGGCCTCCCACCAGCAGATGATCCCAGGAGGTGTTTCTGCGGCTGCCTGGCCTGCTGACAGGTGTCCGTGCTCCTGGCAAAGCTGCTCCCTACGCCGCGGAGTTAATGTTTCAGGGGAGGCACGGGTCCACCTTCCCCGATCTTTCATCTTTTCATTTCAGAATGCTGAAGGGGGAGAATGACTATTACTATATATATTCTCAACACATCTGACCTTGAATCCTTTCATTTCCTGAGCCTTTCAGAACACTCCCTAGACATAGCTGGAGGCGGCCCCCCTCTAATACTGCAGGGTCCAGGGACAAGAGCACAGATGGTGGCTCCCACACGAAATGTCTGAGTATTCACATTGGGATCAAACTGACAAACTGTTACGCATTAAATAGGTTCTGCTTACACTTTCGTGAAGACTGGAATTTTTAGATTCCTCAAAGTTTTCTGTGGCAGCACCAGGAGAGCGGGCCTCCCTGCCCCTGGCCCGTCTCACGCCAGGATGTGCGGCCTGTGTCTCCAAGCTCCATCTACCACCCCTGCAAAACAGCTTGTCCCTGGCCACCCCTCACGCCTACAGGTGTATGCGAGCCACAGTCAGGAGGACAGGCGCGGAGAGAGGGCTGTGTGGCCCCGGAAGCAGGCTCAGGACCACTCGGGTGGAGAGTTAGGGTTTCCTGGGACCTGCAGCATGGCGTGTGCAAGTGTCACTGTGGCCCCGTGGGGAGGGTCCTGGCCAGAGGAAGGCCAGAGTAGTGCCCTCCAAGGAGTGGGACCCAGGACTGGGCCACTCTTGGCCAGGTCCAAGGGTAGTACTGGACTTCCACTCTGTCCTATGCAAGATCATAAAGCAAGGCTGGGGGTGAGCAAGACCCGGCTTGGTGACCTTGGACCTCAGTTTCCTCCCTCGTCCCTGAGGGAGCAGGACTGCTTCCCATTCTAGAACCCTCTGTCGAGTCTGGAAGCAGACTGGATTTCAGAGCCCTTATCCCATCCAGCAGTTCTGGGACACCAGCCCCAAACCCCCAGGGAAGAGAGAGCCACAGTAGGGAGGAACACCACCTTTATTTCTTGATTTCCCATCCGGAGATGCCAGGATGAAGGTGGTGGCTTCACATGGGACAGACGTGGGCCATGGAACATCAGCCCGGGACTTGCAGTAGAGGCGGAGGGAGCCAGACTGACCCATATGTCCACCCACCCCGGGGCTGATTCGCCCACGACTGGCCATCAGCACAATGCCAAGTGCCCAAGACACAGGCCTTGTACACAGGCCCAGGAGTGTCCCTCCATCTGGTAGCAAATGGGCAAATCCCACCTGAGGTCTGCCGTGGGGAAGACGTCTTTCCCAAACAAAGCTAAGCCTCACTCAGGAAATATGGTGATGAAAGGCAGCTCACAGACACACAGGGCTAACGATCCTGTAGAAACGGGGGCTCGGGCACACGCACACGAGGACAAGACTGTGCACCACGAAGACAGGGAGGGAGGTCACAGGGCTCACGGGAGTCAGCAGGCAGCCAGGAGCTGGCGCCCAGGACAGATGCCGTCTCTGCCCGGAGCGTGTACTCAGTCGTGGGGCCCAGACGGGAAACCAGGCGGCAGTTTCCAAAGGACTCAGGAAACACCAGTGGCCGGCCTGCTAGCCAATGTCCTGAAGGAGAAATGGACACGTGGGACATTCACAGGATGGAGGTCCAAGTGCGCAGAGCCAGGAGGTCAGGGTGGTACCGGGGATGGGGAGGCCCCGAGAGCAGCCCCTTCGGGAAACGTCGAAAAGAAGGCCACTGCTCTGCTTTCGTCTGCACGGTAAGCACCCCAGCACCCCAGGGTTTGGCGGCGGTCTCGGTACTTATTCACAGTTGGGGCTCTGCCTGGGGAAGCCGCATCCACACGAGGCCGCGCTGGGCTGTGGTTAGCTGCGGGGTGGGGGGCTCCCTAGTTGGGCCCAGATCTGGGGGCTACCCCCAAAGAACAGGCCCACTTCCCTGCTCTGTGGTTCCCAGGCCCGGGGAGCCCCGGCCAGCTGCCAGGTGAGAATGCCCACGTTTCCAGAGGTCAGAGGAGACGAGAGGCCTGCGCCCCAGATGCCCCCAGCGGACGGGAGCAATCTCCAACAGTCTGTGTGCCTAACAGTGCAAAGCCAAGTCCACGATATTCGGAAGGGAGGGCCCCGCAGGCCGTCGGTCTGGCCGGAGGGTCGCGATGGGCGTGTGGAGGAGGCCCGGTACTCGGGGTTAAGACAGGATGCAGTGGTCCTAGGTTCTTCCAGTCGGACTGCGTTAAAAGCACATCTTAGCAGCAAGAGTTTGTCCTTGTTTCTGTTGCATGAAGGTGGTGGAAACCGGACCAGGACAGGGCGAGGTCAGTCTGCCGAGGGTGGAGAAGCTGCTGCCAGTTCCGTGGGTGCAGGCGCCTCCTCCCGGCGGCCCTCAGGTGAAGTAGCGACAGGGCGTAGAGTCGATGTAGCAGTACGGGGTGCACCGCAGGTCTCCGTATGACCTGAGGGGAGCAGACACGGGGCAGTGGGCAGGAGCCCCAAGGACACAGCCATGTTCTCAAAGGCCTCCTCTCGCGACTCTGGTCAAACCTCATCTGAGAGCTGCCCTACTGCCACCCTCCTAAGGGCGAGGGGCTCCAAGGTGAGGGGCTTGGGGCAGCTGAGTCCAGGTCTCTGGGGCTTCTCCCCTTGAGTCCATCTGAGGGATCTGGGGGAAAGGGGTTTGTAGGTAGCCTGGCTCTGAACGCAGCCTCTCAGAGTGAATCGGCCCTTTCTCCAGCGCTGTCCAGTAGACCACACTGCACTATTTCTGTGGCACCCACTGGCCATATGTGGCTATTGAACTCTTGAAATAAGGTTAGTGTGAATGAAGAATCGGACGTTTAACTTATTTAAATAGCTACGTGTGGCCGGGGGCTACCACATTGGAGAGCACAGCCTACACGTCTGTAAGCCCAAGCGCTAATTCCGAGGCTGTGTTGTATTGATACACCACGCCCACATTCGCAAGCATCCCCTGAGGCTTCTCGGGACTAAAGAGTAACCACAGAGAGCGGCGGGGTAAGCCCTGGGCCCCACGTGTCCCTGTACCCCAGGTCCAACTGTCTATACTCAGCGGTGTCCTTCCGTCAACTCTTTGGCAGGGGCCTGGCAGGAGCCTCCCTACTTCAGGGAGGGGCAGTGAACACAGACACACAGATGCAGTGGAGTTCTGGCCCAGCCTACAGTGCTTGGAGTTTGGGGTCTGAGCTCCCCCAGCCCGGTTTGATTTGTTGCCCTGCGTTTGGGGGTGGGCATTGAGGCGACCTCCTTGGAGGAGAGAGACAGGCCTTGGGTCCTGGGTCCAAGCCTACAGAGGAGTGGGGCTGGAGGGAACAGCTGGACAGATGGACTCCTGAGGAACCAGGGATCCACTCTGGGGCCAAGGGAGAAGCAGGATGTGGACTGGAAGAGGAGCGGCCTCCCTACCTTCCCTACAAGCTACGCAGCTCTGGTCCTGTGAGCACTGGGGGAACAGAGCCCAGGAGAGCCCATTCTGGGCATGGGATCATGCCTCACAGGGCAGAGGCCCTCAGCGGGCTCGGGAGAGGTCCTCATGGAGGCCAGGACACTCAGGATCCTGAGCCACGTGAACACCCACTGAGGGGTCTCAGAAACAACTGCAGGGGGTGCTTGAAGGGAAGACTCCATTCCTGGGGTTTTCTGGGAGGACTCTGGAGCCACCAAAGTTAGATACTAAGGCTGGTGGGATCTCATGTGTACCCACAGGCCTGCCCGGTGGTTCCAGAGAATTCAGGTTACAGATGCTTAGATTCTCTGAAATGCCCGGACACCTCCCCCCTCCACCGGCCCCCCCTCCCAGGCAGGCCCACTCCCAGGAGACCAGTGTGGTCACGGGAGCGATGGAGCTGCGGGCCCAGGCGGAGCTGGGGGCGGGCGACTGCTCTGAGTGGCATGTGGGTTTCTGTGTTTAGCACTGTCCCCCTGCGAGAGCAGGGACCATGCATGTGTTCCATGTCACCATACCTCAGAGTCCAGAAAGCCCCAGGAACACAGAGGCATTCGGGAATATTTGTGAAGGAAAGAGGAGTAGGCAGGAGGGAGGGAGGCCGGGGTGTGGTCACAGCCCGCGAGGTGGTCCCTACCCGGGGAGATAGGTCTCGCAGGTCAGGTGACCGAAGTCAGAGCCGTCACAGTCCTCCACGCCCCTGTGCCGGTGACCATCTCCACAGTAGGCCCGGCGACAGCCTGAGGGGACACAGGAGGTGAAGCCCTGAGAGGGGGGCGGGGTGGGGGACAGCCTGGCAGGACCATGTGGCCTGAAGGAGCCCCCCCCCCCCATCCCACAGAGCCTGAACCCTCCTGCAGGGATGTCCACAAAGCTTCAGACCCCAATCCCACGGGAGGACACTGTTTCTGTCGCAGGACCACCACGGGGTGGGGGGGGTTCCCGTGAGGTGAGGGTAGGGAGATGGGCACGTCACAGCCTTGGTGGCGCTTGTCTGTCTGCAGGGAGCTTCCTGTGTCCCTCAGGAGCCAGACTGTCTTCCACGGGGTCTCTGTTCTCACACCAGGGGAGGGGCCAGGAGTATGAACCCACCCTCATTTTTATAGGGCTTTGAGACTAGCTATTAGTTCCTTTCTGCTGTGTCATCTCCACGAGGGGCAGGGGGACTCTAGGCAGAGCCAGCATCCTAGGAATCACCGCCCAGGAACTGTCGCGGGAAGTGCAGCTACACGGAGAGAACCAGACACTTCATCCTGCGCCTGCCCCTGCGCACTCTCATCCTCCTCTGAGCTCCTTGCTGGCGAGGAACCCACCTTTGCACCTACACGTCCCCAGCCCTGGCTTCTCATAGCAGGACTTTAAAAATAACGCCGTGAAGGGATGTGGAGCCTTCATGGCACCCAGACAATCCATGCGCACGTCAGCTCACAGAATCTCACAGAATCTAAAGGCTTGAGCGTTTGGTGCGGTCGTACCCATTTTTCAGTTGGGGAAAGTGAGGCCCTCCATCACCCCACTCACCGTGTAGCCTCCTCTCTGAGCCTGAGGGTGACTCAGTGGCTTCCAGAGCCTGCGTCCAAACTCTATCTGAATCTAAAAGCTCATGCTTTCCACCTCACCTCCTGCTTTTGTCACTTGATTTTTTTAAAAAAAAGAAAGAAAAACGACGCTTCAGCCCTATGCTGCCTGCCTGTCCCGGTAGCATCCATAAGGCTGAAGGTAGCCCAGCCGCCCAGTCCCCCAAACAGAGCTCTGCTATGAGGACTCTGTCTGCTAAAAGTGAGTCCTGAGTCAGATGCTTGCCTTCTCCCGTCTGCCTCTCAGCCCTGCGTCACCTTTATCTTTTGATAAGAACTTGGATTAGAACGTGGGTTTTGCCAAGAAGTAGGATTCAAAAGAAAGGGAGGGCCCGGTGGCTTCTCTGGGGCCAAGATCCTTGACAGCAACCCCATCGCCATGCTTGGACGGTGGGAGGGCTCACGTTTGGCCTGAGTGGGGAGGGTCATCCCCCCAGCAGCCCAGCTCTGGCTCTAGAACTGTCCCAAACCAGCACAGCTGGTGTCCAGGGCTTGGCCTGACCCCACCCGGCAACGGTTCAAGCTGGGGCCACTCACGGATGCAGTCGTCACCCACATCGCCGTTCCCGTCATCACACTCCTCCCCCGGCTGCAGGACCCCGTCCCCGCAGGAGCCGTGGTGGTCTACGGGGTAGTCCACAGGGTAGAAAGGCGTCAGCTGGCCAGAGAAACACAGCACGCACAGTTACCGGTACAGTGGGACAGGTAGCCAGGCACCGGGGACAGAGGGTCTGGGCGGGGGCAGGGCAGTGGGGGAAGGGCACGCCTCTCCTGTAGCCAGAGCTCTGTGGTTGGCAGGAAGGCTGTGCGGGGCTGGGAGCCTGTCTGGAGCCTTGGCCCAGAGCAGAGCTCCACGTGCGGAGCCAGGGCATGGCGAGCTCTCAGAGGCGGGCTGAGGGAGGGCACTCAGACTTGCATGGAAAGCTCTGCGCCAGGCCTCTCCTTCCTTTGGAGATGCGTCCCTCTGCTGATGGGGTGTGTGCTGAGCGCCCTGTACCTGGATGGGGAGCCAGCCAAGGCTGTCCTTGAAGTACAGAGACCTCTGGTCTCTGCGGAAGGCAATGGCATGTTGGGTGTTCAATCTCTCAAGCTCCTCCTGGTTGTTGACCACAAATATCTGCCGGAGGAAACATTGGTGAGGATTCCAGGAAACACTTCTACGGAGGGCGGGGGAAGAGCCAGAGGAGGAAACAACCCCTGACCTTGGGCTGGTGATCAGTGGGAAGGGCCGTTTGCTTTTACACGCCTGCATCCCTCCTGAAGTGGTGACCAATGTCTTGATTCCCACACCTTCCCAATCCAGTTCCTAATGTCTGAGTTTGAAATAAAAATACCTACCATGGTTTAAAATTTATAACATTTAAAATGTTACAAAGACTTGGGGACTTCCCTGGTGGTCCAGTGGTTAAGAATCCGCCTTCCAAGGCAGGGGACGCACGTTGGATCACTGTTTGGGGAACTAGAATCCCACGTGCCGTGGGGCAACTAAGCCTGCGCGCCGCAACGAAGATCCCGCGTGCCGCAAATAAGACCCGACATGGCCAAATAAATAAATATTTTTTAAAAAATGTTACAAAGACATAAATAAAAAGGTGATGTCATCTAATCAAGTAATTCAACACCTGGAAATGATTCTTAACAAAAATCCTATACTCAAAGTGTTCATTACAGTGTTATTTATATCAGGGAAAAGCTTGGGAGCACCTGATACCTATCTGACAATTGGGCTCTGGTTAAGTAAATCACAGCACAGCCACATGATGGACAGAGTATTACCTACCCATTCAAATTATGAATTGATGTCCGGGTTTACTTTAAAATAATCTAAGGTAGGTAGGCTGTCATGAGTAAGTGTAAAAAGGAAACAAGATTAGCCAGGAGTTGATAATTGTTGAACTTGGGTAAAGAGTACAAAGAGGTTCCTTACGCTATTTGTTCTGCTTTTGTATTTATTTGAAGTTTTCTATAATTTTTTTTTTTCTTAGAAAAGACAAAGAAGGGAATTCCCTGGCAGTCCAGTGGTTAGGACTCTGCGCTCTCACTGCCAAGGCCTGGGTTCAATCCCTGGTCGGGGAACTAAGATCCTGCAAGACGTACGGCACAGCCACACACACACAAAAAAAGACAAAGAAAATACTCCAAAATAGACCCACAACCTTGGTTTTCTTCTTTTGATTTTCCCTTATTTTCCAATTTCCTGTAACGAGCTTGTGCCCAGTATAACGGAGGAAATAAGTTTTACTGAAAGTCTTTTACAAAGCCCGGGGAGCACCAATCCCGGAGAGTCCTGAGGGATGACCACCCCAGATTCTACCCAGAAGAGCCTTACCACAGGAACTCGTGGGGAACTGGGCCCATACGCAGACTCCCCGTAGGAAGGGTTATTCACATTCATGGGAGGGCCACAAAGACATCTTCCTGGAGGCCCAGGAAATCCTCTTTCCCCTTTGGGTCCCATTACAAGGTGTCCTAGGAAGCAACAGACTGCTGTTACCAGCAAAGGAAGAGAAAACCAAACAGCCCAGGGAGGTGTCAGCAACCTTCATGACAGAAGTTTGAAGTCCACAGTGTGGACTTCAGGGACGCCTGGAGGAGAGGTCCAGAGAGACATTTCTGGTTCAAGGTGTGGGTCCCTTAACCACACTGGGTGTGGCAACACCTTCCCCAGCCCTCTTCCTCCCTTCCCTCTCTCTATACTTTGGAGACCAGACAGATGGGCATTCTACTTCCCAGACACCCTCGCTCCTGGAGGTGACTGTGTGCCACAGTGTCAGCCAATGTAAGATCCGTGGTAGAAGGGTGAGTGTCTGGGGAAGTCTATCCTGATAAGGGAGAAGCATAGCTGGAGGGAGACACAGTTTCCTCCTTCTTCCTGTCTGGAAGACAGACAAGATATCTGGTGCTGCAGCAGCTGTGCTGCAACAATGAAGTAACAAGTGTGAGAAGAGAAGCCAGATCGCAGGGAAGACCAGGGCCTCATGGGGCCTGGGGCCCTGAGAGCGAGACCTAGAGGCTGAACTAAAGCCAGCCACTGTCCACCTCTGGACTTCTTTGTTGTAGGAGGGAAACAATCCCTATTTATATTTAGACCATTATTAATGGGGACGTCTTCCTGATGAGTGCATTGCTGGCTGATAACTTTCATCATTTTTTTACTCGTTTTGTTTTGTTCTTATATATAGGAATTTAACAAAGGGATTTCTGAATGTGGGTTTCTTTGATTTCTTCTGGAAGAAATGGAATGTTTGAAAATGCTCAGCCTATTTGTTCTTACCTGATTCTGAGAAAAGTGTCCGGAAAAGATATGATCAGGAAATTCACTCCTTGAAAGGTAGGAGGCCTACTAAGGTAGTAGTTCTCACCTTGACTTGTAAAGGCCCTGATGCCCAGGCCACACTGCAGACCAGTTCCATCAGGACTGCTGAGAATGGAGCACAGGCATCCGTGCTTTTCAAAGCTCTCACAAGTGAGCACCGAGGTTGAGAGCCGTTGGTCTCGGGAAATGGTCTTTGCACAAAACCCCCCACCAGACTATCTTCCTCTTCACCCACCATCCCTCCCTTCCCAGGCACCTCCTGGCTCACTCCCGATCTGGGTTCCTACATCACTTCCTCAGGGAAGCCTTTCTGAATCCTCACACTCCGTCCTGTTCACACTGAGTACAGTTTCTTAGTTCCCCAGGCCTTTTCTTCCTGGCACTTATCTCTGTGATTCTATTCACTGTGAGATTATCCAGGCCAGCTGGATCGCCCCCAGGAGAATGTCAGCTCCACAAAGGCAGGTGGATGCCTGTTTGCACTCATCAGGGCGTGGCACAAAGTAGGGGCACAGTACGTGTTTGATAACTGAATGAATGAATGCAGACTAACTGCAAAGGGAAGGTCTTCAGAAAAGACTAGAGGTCCCATTCCAGCTGGCAGGAAAGTGCTAGAGCCAGAGCCACCAACAGGGAGAGAAGAAAGAGAGGAAAAGATGGGCACTGAAAACAGAAATAAGTAAGTACCCCTCCTGCTGGGAAAATAAGGGGGAGCTTGGAGATCAGCCGGTCATTGGTTTCAGGTTGTATTACTGTATCGAGGGCAGTCAGCAACTGGGGACATGGTTTGCAGATCCCACAAGGGTGGGGAAAAAAATGACCCCGGGGGGAGAGGTCTGGTCAGAACCCCGAGGAAGCAGCTGCAACTGGAGGAGGAGACCCCAGCAGGAATGCCCACACCCTGAGCCTTCCTGAGCCGGTGGACAGATGTGTCCAAGATGGGGATGCTGCCAGCCGGCCGGGAAGGGAGGCTTGCCAGCATCTTACACCAAGTTATGGTCGCTCGTTCTAACAAGAAATACAAATACAATCTGGGAGGAACGCCAGTCTCATGCTTGGAGGGACAGAGACCCCACCAGCTCAGGAATGTTCTGGGGAGTTAACCAAGGATGGGAGAGCATGGGAGCCGCCTTCCAGCAGGCTCTGTGACCGCCAACTTCTCCTCCAGAACCACAGCCTCAGAGAGGCTCAGGAGTTTGTCCCATTATCCAGCTAATTAGTGGTGAGGCTGAGATTTGAGTTCACGTTTGACTTAACACTACGCCATTCAAAAGACACATGTCCAGGAATACTGATGCTCGCAGGAAGCTGGCAATTCCCAGGTACCACAATGATTCACTTATGCCCTGTCTGGGGTCAGGAAGGACTCAGCCAAATTTGTAATCTGGTTATTGCAAATTACATCCTAAAGGCATTTTACTGTGGTTCCCTCCCCCGTCCCCAGGCCCTCTTTCTTGGTTAACTTGGGTAATGAGAAGCTCCTGCTCCCTCCATCTCCCCAGAACCGTCCCGCCCCCCAGCACCAGGCACCAGAAGCAGAGGTGGCCTCCAGATAGGAAGACAGGATGTGGCAAGGAGCCTGCTTCCTGCCCCCCTCCCCCCCGCCATCATTTCCCTGCCGCTTCCTCCCAGCTGTCCAAGGGCATCCATTACCCCTGCCTGCTTCCTGCCAGGCTGCACTGAAGGGCACAGCAACCCAAACTTCCCCAACTCAGCCCCTCGGAGCTTGTCCAGCGGGCAGCCTCTCCCCCATCCCCGGCAGCCGGAGGACCCAGCTCCACATCTTTGCTCAGGGAGCCTCCCATCTCCACTGGCCACTGCAGTGGGAGCAGGTCCGAGGGGTAACCTGGGAGAAGGCAGAGGAACTGTGGAGTCGTCTCCATGTCACCCCCATCCCACTCTACCCCTGCAGAAGCCGCATGGCTACGTGGGAGGGTCTCGGGACCAGGAGTCACAGGCCAATTCTGGACCAGGAGTGGCCACCAGTCGGCTCTGTGACCTTGGGGCATCTCTGTGATCTCTGAGGCTCAAAGTTCTCATCTATAAAGAGAAGGATGGACCAGACCAGGCAGTTTAACCCAGGGTCCACAGAGCCCGAAGATATCCCAAGATGGATCGGGGGCAGGGGGTCTGGAGCTCTGGGAAGCAGTGAGCAGAATCTTGGGTGCAGGTAGACACATTTTTTTCCTGAGAGTGGAACTTCATCAGGCTCTCAAAAGTAGTCTCAGAAATCGCTATGGAGGCCTGTTCCAACTCCTGAGGATGACCCAGCTGGTCCTGGGCACAGGAAGGTCTCTTTTAAATTCCTCCCCCTCCTTCTCTACCCATCCCCCCAAACACATTTCTAAAGAGCAGAATTCTTGCCCCATTTTCTTCAGCAGCCTCACTCTGGGAGGTTCCCCAGAGGGGAAATGACCCAAAGGAAGGCACAGGGAGGGGACATCAGTCAAAGAGCTGGCCCGCATCCTGCTTGTCTGCCACGCAATAATCCAGGTGGGACAGCCCGAGAGTCAAAGTAGACCAGGTGTGTGAGCACCTGCAGGGGCCAGCCCCACACACCCCACCTGCCCGGCGCCATGCGGATGCAAAGCTGACTTGGCCAAGACCCTACCTCAAGGACCTGCCATCTAGAAGGAGGAGGAAACACATCCTCAGAAAACAGTTAACAGTGGAGGGGCCATAGCAGATGCAACGTGGGACTGGGGCCCAAGGGAAGGAGACTCATCCCGTTAGGGACCAAGAAGGCCTTATTGAAAAGAGTGCTTTGAAGGAAGGAGAGGAGTTGGTGGGGTGGACCAGAGCAGCGGTCCCCAACGTTTTTGGCACCAGGGACCGGTTTCCTGGAAGACGATTTTTCCACGGACCCGGCGGGTAGGGGTAGGGGGATGCTCCAGGCGGTAATGCGAGCGATGGCGAGCAGTAGATGAAGCTTCACTAGCTCGCCACTCACCTCCTGCTCTGCAGCCTGGCTGCTAACAGGTCTGGGGGTTGGGGACTCCTGGACCAGAGGATGACGGGAACACTATTTCAGGTCACGTGGACCCAGAGGGACTGTAGGAATATGCTCCAGCTCAACAGACAGCAGAGTCCACTGGAGGGCAGAGGGCACTGAGGCTGGGATCCGGCAGAGGATGGGGTGGTAGAGAGAGAAGGGGGTGGGCATACCAGGCTGAAAGACAAGGTGCCAGAGGACCAAGGAGAGAAAATAGGATTACATTGGCCCTGCTACAGGGATGGGGCTGGCAACACCAAAAGCGGGCATCTGAGGGAGCTGCTGAGGGTCTCCAGGCCCTGCCCTTCTCACCCCACCCCAGGCCCTAGGAGGGAAACGGGATTCAAGTCAGATACACACAGTGAGACCAGTAAGGTCTTAGTTTCCTGAGGACACCCCCCCAACCGCACGCCTCCTGGCTATTCCTCAGTTTTGTGAGCTCCTAAATACCCCCAAGGGTCAAGAGCATCCCTTCCAAAGGCAAAACCCGGGCTTCAGGCCACGCTCCCAGCCTCTGGGGTCGGCAGCTCAGGGTCATGGGCTCAAGTGGAACGTTATGCGTCCGAACGGAGGAGGGAAAGGACTGGCTGGAAGAACCTTCATCCAGATCATCGATTCAATGCAGGGAAACAGGGTCTGGGCATGGACACAGGGCCTGAGGTGCATCTCAATTCAGCTCCCCTAACAGTTAGAAATAAGGGTGGCAGGATAACTCGTCACAGTAATTGATGTTTGTTCTTCCATTATTTTTTCGTTCCTGACTTCAAGGAGGTGGCAAGACTTTGTGCTTTCTTGCTCTTGCTGAGAAACAGGTACTGTTTGAAGACTTCTGCCTTCTGTTCTCAAAAGAGAAAAGCTCCTAAGGGGGCGGCACTGTATGAGGAGTGTGAGGAGGGAGGGGCTGGAGGACAGAAAGGGAAGGATCACCCCAGATGTGGGAGCACGGGGACCCCCAAATCCTGGAGGAGAGCCAAGGTCTCAGGAGGGACGGCTGTGGGGCCTTCCTGGGAAGGTTGAGCCTTGGGGAGCAGGATTCTCAGGCTTGGAGATGATCTGATAGCCAAGCCTGGCGTGAGGAAGGTGGTCACGTGTCTGACCGTGTGGCCTTGGGCAACAGGCATTTCAGAGGTGAATGGGGCAGATCAAGGGCTGGTCACCTCCCGTGATGTTTATCTGCCATAACTCCCCAGGATCTTTGCCCCACAGTTCTGTGGCAGTTGAAGAAGTGGAGAGAACCCCATTAATGCCTGAGACTGAATTTCCCTGGCATCCTAGCAGGTTGGAGTCTCAGAGCCAGTTTTCATTTGGTTTTAAGGATTAACAAAATGACATTTCTTGACCTTCCCATGATGTGGTTGTAAACACTTCCCCACAGTGGGGAAAAGTGCACTTTGGGATTTTTAAATGCCTTCATTTTCTTAAGAAAAGAATTAGAATAAAAATTTTGATTCCTTTCGTATAACTGAGGACAAAGGATCTTGCACAGTCAGTAAACAGTATTCTTGGACCTAGAGCTGCTGTGCTTATATAGATGATGTGCTATGAAGGCCTTCCTCTGAGCTGACAAACTAAATAAAAGGCTTAGCTCCTCAAATTAAGCAAGGTAAAACAAGGTAGCAGTGTACCTGTACCCTCTTCAATGGTAGACCTTTATTCCTTTATAGTGATTTCTTTCTATATTCGATGCACATCTGTAAGGACTCTTTTACAACACTGTGTAAGACAGAAAAATTTGCAATGTCTTCTTTACTTCTAGGTTTAAGAGCATTGCTTGGAGCCATGAAACGTTCTTCTAGAAAAGGGTATTAGTTGATGCAATACTTGCCTGTTATTTTTCACTTAAAGTGTAAATGACATCACCAATGTGATTTTTTTTTCTTTTTCACTCCTCTATTTGTTCTCCCAAATCCCAAAACAAAGCCAGAATAGTGTTTATCTCTCTCGTGTAAAATTTGAATGGGTCTAATTGTGGATAAATTAGAAATATATTGAAATGCTTCAGGCATTTTCCAACTCAGAACACAAGGCAGGCCTCTGCTGACATCTCCCTGTGCTCTCTGGGAGGCTGGCCAGGAGGGCAACAGCGTGGATCAGGTGAAGCAGTGTAGCTCTTACCTGCAGACGGGGGACCCGGGGGTCCTGGGGTGCCCGGACGGCCAGGTTGACCAGAAGGCCCAGGTTTGCCTGGTGGGCCCATAACTCCACTATCTCCCTTCTGCCCCTGACAGAGAGAAAGGCAGAGCCCGTTATAAGAGCAGGACATGGCAAACCTCCTCCCCCATTCATCTCTAAATTAGGGACCACCTTGCACTTTGGAGCAAGTACCAGGGGGAGGATGCAGTCCCAGAGGTCCCAGAGGGACCAGCAAGCTCCTAAAAACCTCAGGGCAAGTGACATTTGAGACAGTGATGGATGCATGTTTATAGACATTACTTTAAAAAAAAATGAAGTATAGTTGATTTACAATATTGTGTTAGTTTCAGGTGTACATCGTAGTGATTTGGTGGGGTTTTCTTGGAGATTATGTTCCATTATAGGTCATTAAAAAATATTGAGTATAGCTCCCTGTGCTACACGGTAAATCCTCGCTGCTTATCTATTTTATGTATAGTAGTGTGTATCTGTTAATCCCATACCCCTAATATGCCCCTCCCCCACCCCTCTCCCCTCGGGTAACAGTCAGTCTGTTTTCTACAGACATCACTTCTTGCTCTGTCCTAGACACATAGGAACCAATCCAAACCACACTCCTCACTGGGCAGGTGAGGAAAGAAAGGCTCAGGAAAGAGCAGGGATTTAGGCCAGTCACCTGGCATCAGGCTCTGCCTGCTCATCAGGACAATTTCTGTCTCAGCACAAGAGCTGTTCCCACCCCGTGGCCTCTTGCTGCTCTCAGGATAAAGACCCAGCTCCTTACTGGAGCCTCCGCAGCCCTGCACGGCCAGGCTTTCCACGCATGTCCCAGGCTTTTGGCGTTCTTGGTCTTCAACAGCACCATGCCTTTTCTTTCCCTTCTCCAGACTCTTCTCTCGGCCCCGAACCCCTCTTCCCACCCTTCTGCCTAGCTAACTCCCTCCCATCCTTCAGCTCCCAGCTAAAATACAGTTGCGGCAAAGTCTTCCTTGACCTTGCCTGACCAAGTCAGTTCTCCCTATCATGGGCCCTTTTCCTTCACGGCCTTTAACCCTGATCATAACTACCATTGTTCGTGTGGTCATTTCCTCTGTGTCTCTCCAGGAGACAGAAGCTCCCTGCGGGCCAGAATCTGTTTTGTTCACCTCCTTTCCCCAGACCAAATGGGGAAGGAGGAGAAGCTGAACACACAAAGTGGATGTAGTTTGTTGGCTCTAGGTCGAGAGATCTAGGTTTTCATCTTGGCCATGAGACCCTGGGTAACTCATGTTGTTGCTCTGTGCCTCAGTTTTCTCATCTGTGAAATGGGGCCAGGCAATATACACCTGCACAGGCTTGCTGTGAGGCTAACAGAGATCTCAAAGGTGAAAAAGTGGTTTGCGCAGAATCAAGGGCTTTGTGGGCCAAGCTGATTATCATAGCAACTGGCTCGGTTTCATCTTTTTCCCACAGTTAGAAAAGTCCTGATTCTTAATGAAAGGCACACCTGCAGGTATAGTCTTTCCACACAGCATGTCCTCTTTGCTGTCTGCTCTGGGAGGGTTAAGAGCACACATCTCCCCCCAGAGCTGCCCTTAGGAATGACCCCAGAAACCAAGGATGGCACACCTGTAGATCCTTCCCCTAAGCCATTTGCTAACTGTCCACTCGTGCCCGGGGCCCGACCAGGACAGTGACTGATGCCTGATGGCTTTGGCCTGGTCCCCTTCATACCCTTGTGCTGTGGCTACCTCGCCCACCTAATGAAACATAACCTTCGCCAAGCCTGGGGAACAGGCAGGCCGGGCACGCCTTTCACCACCATGTGATGTGTGACCTGCCGCCTTGTCAACATGGCCCTGGGGGCTCTCTCGGCAATGTCCAAGGAGTTCTTAAACACTTAATGCGGGATCGTGAGGTCAGAGTTTGTCTCCAGTTCCACCCTCATGGAGGGAGTCTTAAGCCTTGCCTTAGCATTCCGTGGGGCAACCAAGATGGGTCCCAGATGGCAAAGGAAGTCACACCGTCTTAATATAGCCACAGCGAAGGCTTGCTCTTCTAACAGCCACATCAGCTGGCTCTGAGCACAGGAAGTGCCACAGCTTGAAGGAGCTGGGAACGCTCCTTGTTCTGACCTCAGCGGTAATCAGATATTCTGCTGCTCAGTCATCTATTCAGAACAGCCTCGTCCCTGTGAGCGGGACTCACTGAGCAGCGCTTTCCAGGAAAAGCATTCTTTTTTTTTTTTTTTTGCGGTACGCAAGCCTCTCACTGTTGTGGCCTCTCCCGTTGTGGAGCACAGGCTCCGGACGCGCAGGCTCGGCGGCCATGGCTCACGGGCCCAGCCGCTCCGTGGCACGTGGGATCTTCCCGGACCGGGGCACGAACCCGTGTCCCCTGCATCGGCAGGCGGACTCTCAATCACTGCGCCACCAGGGAAGCCCGAAAAGCATTCTTTATTCCTTTCCTGCCACCAAGTCTGGTGATTCCTGTCAAGGAAGTTGTGTCTCCGTGACTGAAGATTTGTGTGATAAAGTCAAGAGCTGCTGTCCTGGGTCTGCCCGGAGGCCAGGCCTGAAGCAGGAGGGTGATGTGAAGATTGCTGTGGAGAAGCTGGTCTCAGATCTCCAGGTTCTAACCCTGCTTGGAAGCTGGCTTGGCTGGGGGTCCTGGGTGGTCAGGCCCCTTGCCTGGCCCCCGGTTTTCTGGTGACTACATGCAGGGAATTGGGTTGGTGGTCTCTAAAGTCCTTCTGGATCTGCAGTTCTTACTCCTGGATCCCCTTCCAGATTTCTGATTCCAGGATTTGGGCTGACTTTCCATAACCTCCAGAGACTCTTAGCATCATGGCTCAACAAACACTCTGTATGTAAGACTCTACTAGGCAATTAATTCATGACAAAAGAAAGTATCATGGCGCGCTCCCAAGGCTGACGAGTCCGGTCTAGGCTGGAGCACACTCGGGTGTCTGTAATGTCTCTGGAGGAAGATGAGCTCATTTCCCTAACTTCTCTGAGCTCCCAGATGTGTTTCTGGTGTCGTTTTAAAAATTGCTCCAATGAAATCATTCTCAACAGGGTCAAGAAAGAGCCTTGGCTTCGGCCCTAACCAGGACAAGACAAACACTGCCCAAGGAAAGAACTAGATGACAGAAGCCAACCGGCTTCTCAAACCCCAAGCATAACACATTCTGGATGGAATGCAGCAGTAGTGGAGAAAACGATTTTTTTGAAAAGATTTTTCCTTTTTTCTTCTTTTTCTGAGCCTAGTTTTTAGGAAATTAGTATCTGTGGCATCATTGTGAAGCCACCCATGGCCATGCCACCAACTATAAATCTTTAAAAATTAAACTGGAACATTGTGACTTCAGAAGTCATCGTGGGGGCTTCCCTGGTGGCACAGTGGTTGAGAGTCCACCTGCCGATGCAGGGGACACGGGTTCGTGCCCCGGTCCAGGAGGATCCCACATGCCGCGGAGTGGCTGGGCCCGTGAGCCATGGCTGCTGGGCCTGCGCGTCCGGAGCCTGTGCTCCACAAGGGGAGAGGCCACAACAGTGAGAGGCCCGCGTACCGCAAAAAAAAAAAAAAAAAAAAAAAAAAAAAGTCATCATGGAAGCTGATTCATCAGGTTGGAGTCTATGTCTTTCCTAAGTTCATTTCGAAAAGACCAGAATTGGCTTTGTAGTGTTACCGTGGTTCTGAATCCCGGTGCACATTAGACTCATGTGGGGCTTTAAAAACAACAACAACCCATGCTGCAGCCCCAGTTGTGTCAGAGTCTTTGGGAAGTAAGGTCTTGACATTGGGGAAGAGGAGAGGCACACTTGGGACCACCACCAGTGCACCAGGGGCAGGGAATCTGTATTTAATCGGCCCCCAAGATGATTCTGATGGAAGCCAGAGTCTGAAAGCCACAGATCTAGCCTAAGGAAAGAATGGAAATGTGCCCAAACACGTTCACTTCTCGGCATTATTTATAATTTGGTTAGGCTTCTCTTGTCCAAGCTATCTACTCTGGTTACTTATTTACCAAAATCGATGCAGAGATTTAAAAAAATGTTTAAGAGTAAGAGTGCTTAATGAATGCAGTAACAAGTTAAAATGTGTGTGTTGTGATTTTTAAGTTAAAAATTTAGGATACAATAAGTATATATCAGATGTAAAAGGAACAAACGACTAGAAAGTCCACGGAAGCAATAATACTGGAAGGAAGTGTACATACATGGTAACATGGTTGTACCTGGGTGTTAGGTCTTTAGATGATTTCCTTCCTAGTTTTCTGAATTTTCTGTTTTCTGTGATGATCATATATTACATGTATAATGGGAAAGGAGGTAAAAAGCCAACAGACTGGCAAACAAAAGAGTAGGGGTCACACACGTCTCATTCGAGCAAAAGGGAGAGGTTCTCTGAGGCCCTGGGGACAGCTCACATCACATGGTTTGACACAAGAGCCTGCTGACCAGGGGAATTCAGAATGAAAACTTTCCCTAAACCCTGAATAGTGCCAATAAAGGGGTCATTTACAAATGGCGATCTTGAGTAAGGAGAAAGCACCCTATTGTTGAGACCCAGCAGATCCTTGAACGGCAGGGAAATATCTGGGCTGATTCCAGAACTCCATCTGCGTCTGGGGCACTGAGGCAAAAAGCAGGTTTTCTGGGCGAACGAGCAGACCTGATTTCCACTCCCAGTTAACTTGGATAAGACAGACCTGTTCTTATGAACCGAAGACCCACTCCTGCCTCTAGCCTTGACACAGCTGGACGGGCATCCTACCCCATCCACCTCGCACTCCCGCCTCGGTGGAGAGCCCAGGCGCCCCGGAAGGGGTGCTGCTACTGCCCCCCAGCCCAGAGGATGCTGGAGACTGTGTCCCTGCAACGTCCCTGACCTGTCCGCCCCGCCCTGCCCACCTCTCTACACCCGCACCCCAGCTCAGGAGGTCCGGTGAGCCCTGGGATCCATACCTGCTTGCCTCGTTTTCCTGGTCTTCCCGTGGGCCCCCGGTGGCCTGCTATCCCGGGCTCGCCCTTTGGTCCCATTTCACCCTGGAAAGAAGAAAGAGAAGCAAGAGAGGAACGAGGAAACAAGGAGCAATCTCAGCTCCAGGTCGATCCAACCTCCGGCCACGGGGCCTCTCCTTGCTCACTCCCAGTCTTTTCCAGGCGGGCTGCTCTGGGAGGTTGGGAGAGCGATGAGGTCGTGTGAAGGGAGAGAAGTTTTTCAAGGAAGAGGACGGGAAGGAGAATGTTACCATGGGTGGGGAGGTCACTATCTGAGAGAGACAGCTGCCGGGCAGCACACATTTTGGTTCCTAAATCCCCATCCAGAGAGGCGAGGGTGGGAGGCGCCCGCATTTCAGTCCCCTGTGCCTGGGACACCGATGGGGGCAATGCCTTCTCTCTTAGTTGAAATTGTATGCTGTGCTTTGCTTTGTTTTTAGCACAAATTCAGATCTATGGGTTTTTGAATGATTGGACACAGTTTTGACGACTATCATCTTTGGGATGTTTCTGCTCACGTTATATAATTCCCCACTCTTCAGTAAAAAGCTGGTTTGAGTTCCACCTCACTCCCATTTGATTCAGATAAAAACTCTTAGTGGGAGAGATGTTCCAGACACATGTTCACATACTCAATCTAGTTATTGTAAAAGGCACGGAAAGCAGCGTAAGCAACAGTCCTAATTGAAAAGCTCTATTTGGAACCATCGGAACCACATGTACCAACTGCGGAGTTCCAGAGTTTAAGGCCAGCCTTTTGTAAAACCTGTCTCTCCATTTTGGTTCATCCCCTCCTTCCCCGTGCTCTTCCAGGATTCCAGGCCCACTGGTGGCTTCTTCGGCTCAGGAACCCACCCCACAGGGCATCCTTCCTACCCCCAGTAACCCCTCCATAGCCCAGAAGGCACCACACCAGCTAAGCTTAGCAACAGCAGCCATGAGAGTTTCTGTTAGGCCACAGCTGGTGCCCGTGAAGAGCTGACCCGGCCACTCAGACGAGGATAAACGCCCGGACGACTTCTCCCAGGGAGGCCAGAGGAGGTACAACACAATGGAAGATTCCAGGGAACACCAATACACAGTAAGGACCAAGCATAAAGCGCTGAAATTACCTGTTGGCTCAGCCAGTATAATGAATTTGTCAAGCTACCAACACTTTGCCTCACCGAGAATTGTCCCTAAACCTACGATTTCTTTCCCGTCCGTCACGTCCTTCGGCCTGCTAGGATAGGGTGGATTCTCTGTGGCCATGGAGATGTTTGCATAATTTTCCTTGGCTGTTTAGAGGGGGCTGAGAGGTATCTTGTTTGGCTGGGAGAAAACAGCAGCATAAACAGCATAATTTTTTGGAAAAGATAGTCTGAAGAAAGTGTGGTCCTTCTCTTCACCAGCTGGAAGCAGCCAGTAATGTCTTGATCTAATTTCTCTCCAAAGACCTAATTATGGTCATCACATCAGCTCTGTCTTAAACAGGCTGCCCTGAGAGGGAGAGAGAACTCTGTATGGCAAGTCTAGTAAATGGTGCAGAGACCAGAGAAGCTGTCATACTTAATTTTACAGGAATGTATGTCCACTGTTGCACTGAATGAAAACCTAGACTGTTTTAAAATAAAATTATTTGTCTCTCTTAATGTCTGCTTTCACTTGCTTATATAATTAATCTATTTATTTTTAACCCAACACTCTACGTAGGTAGCAGAGACAGAGGTTTTGACAGCTTTAGGCAGTGATAAATTATAATTATGTCAGATGATTGAAATTATTTAAATATGATCTACTGACAAGAGAAAGTCAGATAAAAATTGTTCATTCAGGTTTGGAAAATAAAATTTTAAGGCGAACTTGAAAACAATTTAGAGTTCTAAGAAAGCATCCCATTTGCCTGTTTGAAGAATATCGTGCTCTGAGGCTTAGGCAAAAATAAGTTTCCAATGTCAGTGCCTTACAGCATGAGGAAGCACCATTGTGATGGTGGTTGTCCTAAGTGATCATTCAAGCACCCTTTCTCTGATACTCCCCTCGCCCCCCCATACCTCTTCCTTAAACTTAAGTAAAAGTTAAAAAAAAGTCTGTCACTCAGTTGCCACTTTCACAGTTTTTATCACATCTGCACACCATTCTATTGTTATTCACTGAATATTTTTTCTTTAAGTCAACCAAACTAACTCCTTTTTTATTAAGCCTTGTCCCAAGCAAATCCCACTAAATACTTAAATAGATAATAAATTTACCTATCAAATAAAAAATGTTTTAGCTGTCACCCACTAAAATAACTCTGTGGGCCTCCGGCAGTGCATGTGCCCCCATGTGCCCCTGATCTGGGTGCAGGCAGCAGTGGTCTCAAACCCACGCCAGGGCCCTTGAGCACTGCTGCTCCAGTCTGAGTGCCCGGGCACAAAGCTTTCTGATTTTGAACAGTCCCATAGCCCTCTGACAGACAGAAGATGCAGGGAATGCCTCTCTGCCCTCAGATGGGGAATCCCTTCCTCCCACTGAGCTGGAGGGAGGTCCCACTGATGCATTCAACAACTTGCTCCCCTTTCAAACCAGAAACTTCCACAGTGAAACCCGCTTTTCATGCCTGATGAATGGAGAGGCAGACCTCTTTTTGCTGTGCTTGGAAGGTCTAATTTGTTACTGAGACCTATTTTTACTACTTCTAGGTACTTACTTTCTGCCCCAACATTCCAGGAAGTCCTGGGAAACCCTGTGAAGAGAAAAACAAACACAGTGACTGCCTCTGAAATAATGCTTGAAAGGGCTTAGGAAGAGTTTGGTCAGCTCTTCAAGATAAAGTCCTGTCAGTCAGCCAGCCAGCCAGTTAGCCAGTCGGTCAGTCAGTCAGTCAGTCAGCCAGTCAGTCAGTCAGCCAGCCAGCCAGTTAGCCAGTCGGTCAGTCAGTCAGTCAGTCAGCCAGCCAGCCAGCCAGTCGGTCAGTCAGCCAGCCAGCCAGCCAGTCAGTCAGACAGTCAGTCAGCCAGTCAGCCAGTCGGTCAGTCAGCCAGTCAGTCAGTCAGCCAGTCGGTCAGTCAGCCAGCCAGCCAGCCAGTCAGACAGTCAGTCAGTCAGTCAGCCAGTCAGCCAACCAGCCAGTCAGCCAGCCAGTCAGCCAGTCAGTCAGTCAGACAGTCAGTCAGTCAGCCAGCCAGCCAGCCAGTCAGTCAGTCAGACAGTCAGACATTCAGACAGTCGGTCAGTCAGTCAGTCAGATAGCCAGTCAGTCAGACAGACAACCAGTCAGTCAGCCAGCCAGTCAGCCAGCCAGCCAGCCAGCCAGCCAGCCATCAGCCAGTTGGTCAGTCAGTCAGTCAGCTAGCCAGTGAGTCGGACAGACAGACAGACAGACAGTCAGCCAGTTGGTCAGTCAGTCAGTCAATGTCAGTCAGCCAGCCAGTCAGCCAGTCAGTCAGCCAGCCGGTCAGTCAGTCAGCCAGTCAGTCAGTTGGTCAATCAGTCAGTCAGTCAGACAAACAGCCAGTCAGCCAGTCAGCCAGCCAGCTAGTCAGTCAGAGAGTCAGTTGGTTAGTCATTCTGACAGTCAGTCAGTCAGTCAGCCATTCATTCATTCATTCATTCAGCCAGTCAGCCTGCAAGATGGGGGTAGGCAGGGGCTGCCACTTCTGTTGAAGTTTATCATTTTTATGCAATGCCCATTACCTTTTCTCCTTTGGGACCCAAGTCACCCCTTTCACCTCTGGATCCCTAGGAGGAAACCACAGGAGAGTCAATGAGTTAACTCCATTGGCGGGGAGGGGGAACTGGAGCATTTCAAACTGAAAGCTCCATAGGTCAGCACCCTCACTTCCCAGGCAAAGAAACAGGCTCAGAGGTTAGGAGACTGGCCCAGGGAAGGCATGCTTTGTGAGATAAACTTCTATTTTGACCTCAAAGACCTCTACACTAATAAAGGACAACCCACAGAAAATTCCGGGTCCCAGATTTTCTCTTATCCTCTAGGAAATTTGTCCCCAGGGTCTGGCTGGGTTTTTTGGGGTTTGCTCCGTTTTTGACAGACAAGAAGGTTGTGTGGTAGAAGCTTGCTCTAAGAACACATCTGCCATTTTTGTGCAGCACCCCATGTCAGCTGTGTTCACGCTGCACCTGGCACAACTTTCAGCTCTCACTGCCCCGCCTGAGGGGCTTCCACCTCCTCCGGGAGCTCCTCCCTAACCCACTTGCCCTGGCTAGGAGGCCCCTCACTCCTGTCTCGCAGCCCCCTGACAAAGGACAGGGTAATATCTAGGAGTGGTGGCTGCAGTCGCTGACTAAAGAGACCCCTGGGCCCATCCTCTGCTCATCACTGACCCCAGACCCAACAGCCCAGACCAGGCTCTGGGGAGCCATCAGAGACAAGCACCAACCTTTTCCCCTCTGGATCCAGGGTAGCCCTAAAAGAAAGCAGAAGGTGGATTGACAATCAGCCCTGTAGGACCTTTGGGTTTGGTGCAAGAGTGGAAGCCATCCCTGTATGTGGTGGTGAGATGTGTCTCCACATCGGGCTGCACGTTTTTTTGGGGGCGTGGGGGAGTTGCAGCAGTAAATACAAAGATGTCCCTGAGGGTTGTGTTTAAACCAGGGCTAAAAAGAACACTGCTTTTCTTAGTCTCCCAAAGGTCCGAACAAAGGTTTCCATCTGCTTTGTTGTCCAGGGGCTTGACCCTCGCTGCCCAAGATAATGGCAGGAATGGCATCCCTCTGCCCCTGTGTCCCAAGACACGATGTCCCCCAAAGGGCTGGTAAAGATAAGCACACTCTGGCAAGGGACTCTCCAATATCTGTGACAATCCCCAGCCCAGGACGGCAGCCACACAGTTCCCACTTTATAGACATCAGCTGCTCCAGAACCTTAGTAAGAAGACCTGGAAAAATCTATCTGGACCAACACACTGACCTTGGAGCCCATTGGTCCTCTTGACCCTGGCAAGCCCATCATCCCCAGGTCACCTTTTTCACCCTGTGGGAATCAGAAGGGGGAAAAAAGACCTACAGTGACATTTCCTAGAGAAACTGAACCAGGAAAGGCGTGGGCAAGATCAGGATAGAACTGGGGACACTGGGGCTGGCCTGTGAATCTGAGGACCCCAAATCCTCCCTTGCTGGCTCCCAGGGGCCCAAGACTACAGACTCCACACTTCATTCTGGTATTTGACATGAAACATAGAATGAAATTGTCCAAGGTAGAGCAGATCTTCAAACTAAATGCTCACTAACATGTTGTAAATTGACTGATGTTTGATCTTCTCCCAGAGAAGGCTGGGAAAGGGAGGGGGAGAGAGCATGCAGGCACTGGGACCTCAAAGGACAAGGTATCCGCACCTCAAAAAACTACATCTGCTCTACTCTTTGCATAGTGAGGGCCTTTCTGATGTTTCCATATACTCTTACTCTACGTTTGCAGCCAAGCAGAGTGAACATCAGCCTCTGGGTGTATACTACGGAGGCAGGGGAGTAGGATTCATAGGTGGGATCTGTTACCCTTCAGAATGGTTTACAGTTGGAACTTTCAGTGCCCTTTGTGCTAAAAAATTTTAACCAGCGCTAAACGGTAGAAATATAAGGTGAACCATATGCTTAATATTAAACTTCTTTTAGAAGTCACATTAAAAGTAAAACTAAACAGATGGAATTAACTTTAACAACATATTTTATTTACTCTAATTAATTTAATCTAATTATCATTTTAAACATGCCATCAATGTAAAAATTATTCATGAGAGGTTTACAATCCATTTTTCATAATAAATATTTGAAATCTGTTGTGTATTTTACATTTAAATCACATCTCAATTCAGGTGCTAAATTTTCATCTAAAATACTTGATCTGTATTTAGATTTCAAAAAATTTATAGTTAAAAAAGCAGATTCACATACTCAATTTACTCCAAAATACTTATATATTTTCAACTAACTGAATTGAGTACAGGTTTTTAAATGCAAACTTAAATTCATTAAAATTAAATATTCAGTTCCTCAGTGGCACTAGGCATGTTTCAAGGGTTCAGTAGCCACATGTGGCTAGTGGCTGCCATATTGGATGGCTCAGCTCTGTACAGTGGATTTTTGAAGAAATATCCTTGGGACTTTTCCTAAGAGGACTGGGAACAATTTTCTATTCTCAGAATAAATACAGCCAATAAGTGAGTCAGAGCAGACAGTGACATTCACCTGCTCACCCCTGACTTCTGCAGGTCAAAGTTCGGAGTCGTGGCCTCTGCACCCAATAGTCTATGACCAAAGTGTGTAAAAAGACATGGGTGTGGATGTATTAGCTTTTCCTAACCTGTCTGAGGACGGGGATTTCACCAGCATTTGGCAATCCCTCTGTGAATATAGGATTTCCGTTGTTCCAGCCCCCAACTCCCATGCCCTCACCCTCCACCCCCTGCATGACAGGCCAACAGCTTCCCAGGCACAAGCCCCTCTTGCGTCATCTCAGGGAACCAAAGAATTGCACACTAACTCTCAGGACAAAGGAGGACAGGGCCCCTGGGAAAGAGGTGGCAGCCCCTCGTTTCTCCTCTCACAGAAGCTGAGCTGTGGGACTGACCAAGTTCTTGCAGTCCAAGCAAAGGAGGAAGTGTTTAGGGACCTCGGGTCAGTCCTCAGGCTCTCTCCTTCCTCCCCATCTGGAGGAAGTGAGTTTCACCGACAATGTGCCAGGGGCCTGGGGAGCCGCCATCTTCTCCCCTCCAGTTCTGATGCCACTGGAGCCCTGAGAGCTGCCACACTTACCCTGGGGCCTTCAGGGCCGGGCCAGCCAACAGGCCCAGGCATGCCAGGAACACCTGGGGGGCCGGGTCTGCCCTTCAAAGACAGAGAACAAAAGTCAGGACAACTGGGTTTGTTTCCCTCCCTCTAAAAACACACATTTGTCTCTGTGGCCTAGAGGGGAGTATGGGGCCTCCAAGCATGGCCCCAGGACCCTCATCCCCACCCTCCAAAGACTGATGGCCTAGAAAGTTGGGCCACTCGGGTATGAGTTAAAGCCCTTGGTGTCACATTATGTCGACACACAAGACTTTTCTATTCAAGAAATGGAAGGTGGTAGGGAAGGGATTCTAAACTTCTTGGTTCTTCGATCGTTGTCATCTCTACCCATCCACCCAAATGTCCCCTGCATTCCCATAGGTTCTCCCCAAGGAGGCAGTGTAGGAGGGGAGAGGATTATGTTTGGAGAGCAGCAGCAGATGCTGGGGGTACTCCCTCAAGGTCTTTCCCCGCTGCTCAGCATGCCCATTTCCCAGGGGCTACCTTCCTTGCTGTACCAACACTTTCCTTCTTACAACCTGCAAGTGTGGGTTTGCCGGGGGCAATTGGAGCTGCCCAGCAATTGATGTACCTCCCCTTCCTGCAGCCAACAGCCCAGCCCCCTTACATCAAGGTAAGGCAGGACAAATTCTCTGGTGCCATTCACATTCCAGAGCTCCCCTAGGGATCAGACTGAAGTTGGATGTCATCTGATACCACCCCACGCTGGGTTTCTTTCCCTGCCCCATCTGGGTCTCCCCTCCCCTCAGGCTCCTCTGGAAAGAGCTCCCTTAATCATTAATTCACTTGCACATGGCATGGACCATCTCTATCTCTGTGTCTAGGGAATCCAACATAAGCCAAGGAGCTATGGAAGAGTAAGCCCTACAAGAGAGCATGGGAGCAGCGACTTGGGGTCTATGTTGACCTCTGCACCCACTGGCTAATTTCAGTTAGCCAAGCTGGAGATGTGGAAGGCTCAGCCCCTACCCAGACATCACAGGCACTGGCATGTGTACTAGTTCCTGCTCCTGCCTTCCTCATCCACGGCAGACATCACTAATCAATCACGGCCCTTGTTAGTCCTGAGCATGGAGACGATGGCAGAATCCTCCCAGCCCAGCACTTCAGTCGACCGCTGGGCCTTGACTGGAGTGGTCAGCTGTGCCTTAAAGGGTTGGAACTTTGCCTTACTAAGGTCTGTTTGAGGCTCTTATTGATAGCGAAAGTATTTGAATAAAACATTTAACGGGGGAAATAGTAATTTATATTTAGAACCAGAGGCATCTTTCTTGGCCAAAGTTTTGAACCTTCTTCTATATCACCAAGACCTACAATTTCAGTGCCAGCATCCATTGACTACAGCAAGCGGCAGGGGGTTGACTCCTTCCTGACACTAATGAGAACCTTAATAACATGTGTTTGGTTTACTGAGCCCCGTGACCTGAAGTAACTCCCATTTATTTCAGCTGGGCCTTAAAGCAAAGCCATTTGTTTCTGTCTGACACTTTACTCCACTTTAATCAAATTGACAGTGAGAGTCATTTGGTGCCACTGGCTGAGGCCTTGGAGGGTTTCTCTGATGGATGGCAGGATGAGGTGGTGTGAGGCTGGGGGAAATCTGGCCAGGCTTGGCAGCCTCTGGCAGAAGTCCGAATGCCAGTCACTACTGTCCTCATCGGATGGCCATCTGGGTATCAGGGCCGCGGAGGTGGGCAGCTGGTCCCCACCCCTAGGAGTGCGCACACTCATGCACACCGAGCACAGCTGCCTGCGTAATGCTGACAGAACAGCATGGACCATACCTTCCTTCCCGGTCGGCCAAGCTCCCCCTGTGGATGGAGAAGACAGGTAAGCAGAGGCTGCTTTGGAGGAAAAGTTCTGGAATCAGAGGGCTTAGCAGGGCTGATGAGCGGGCATGCCCATGCGGCTTGGTCACCTGGCGGTTCACAGCACCCCCGCCACGTCAGGGGGCCCCCCCAGATGCACCGGCGGGGTCCCACACCTTCAGCAGCCCAGTCACCCCGGAGCCCATCCTCACGCACTAAGGCAGGATTAGCACGTGCTTTGAAATCTGAGCTTGCAAACCCTCAGTGGCGCCCCCAGAAAACAGGCTGGAACTACCAAGGAGAGGTGGGGTGAAGACACAGGTGGTTCGTACCTTTTCTCCCTTTGGTCCTGTCTTGCCAGGAAGCCCAGGCGGGCCCTACACGATCAAGATAAGAAGTGAAGAAAGCATGCATGAGCCCAAGGCAGGCCGGTGGGAGGAAGCCAAGGCCGGGAGGGGCTCCTTGGGCCCTAGCTCCTCAGCAGCCTCCTTCTCTCTGCAGATTCAGGGCTCCAGACACGGCAGGAAGGACACTCCACACTCTCCAGCCCAGGCCCCTCCTCCCTAGGCCCCCTCTTCTTGCTTTCTCTAGGCTGTTTCCAGCAGCACCATTGTAATGAATGGTCACACACCTACTCTCTGTGATTTTCATTTTCTCCCTGGAATTCTTGGGTTGCCTGAAACATCCTGAGTGCTTGGTGAGAGCAGCTAAAGAGACGTGAAGATATGCTATTTGCTGACAACGAGATGCTGCACCACCTCTCACGTCTTTTCGGCTGCTCTTACCAAGTTTCCCTGGGGCCCAGACAAGACGGAAGTTAGGCTTTGCTCACAGGAGCAGCTGACACAGAAATTCCCATGGTGGATCTGTGGGTACCAGGTACAGCAAAAGTCTTCTGTTTTAAGATGTGAAGAGTGCGTTTTTGTCCCACGGCCCGGCCACGGGAGTGGGGCTGAGTCCAGCTCAGGGACTCCAGGGCCCGTCGCACTAAAGCTTGACACCCCCTATGGCAGGACGCAGCTGCCTTCAGCGTACGCGCCTATGAAATGCTCAGTTGGCCAACTGTCTTCCAAGCTCCCCAGGACAGCAGAGAGGAATCCACCAAAACCCCCAGGCCACCACTTCATCCCCAAGACCTGCAGGTGAGCACGCCTCACGCAAAGCCTGTCTGAAACAGGATTTCTATGAGGCTTGTCCAGATGACCAACAACCCCTCAGCCAGGGGTTCCTAAGCCTCTCTGCACATTAGAAACCCCTGGGGATCTTTTAAAATTCCCGAGAGACACAGGAATCCCAGGGGATTCTAATGTGCAGAAAAGTTTGGGAACCACTACCTTTGGTTTATTCCCCTGTTTTAGGGACGGGAGGAGGGAGAGTTTCAGTTCCATTCTTTTTTCTTTTCCAAGTCTCACTTTTTTCCATTTTCTTGAAATGGACGAGAACTATGTATCAGGCCGTTGTGCTCTCCCTAGCTCAGCACTTCCCAAACTTTGATATGGACTGATTTCCTCTGGAGGGTCTTGTTAAAATGCAGATTCTGGTTGAAGGATGTGGGATGGAGGAGGGGAGGGTGAGATTCTGCGTTTCCAGCAAGTTCCCGGGTGACGCCAGTGTTGCTGGTCCTCACACTGTGTCCCCAGAGTTGGCAGCACAGTCTCGGAGTGACACACGTGGGATTGCACGAGGTTGGAGGCATGCATATGGGGCTGGAGACCGAAGTCTGGGGGCAGCAGGGACCCCCTTCCCATGGGTTCGCTGTGGGTTCTGAAACCGAGCGGGGCCTGTGGCGGTCCCAGGCACGGAGGTCTTTTTTTGTCCCCTGTTTCTTTTTTTTTAACATCTTCATTGGAGTATAATTGCTTTACAATGGTGTGTTAGTTTCTGCTCTATAACAAAGTGAATCAGTTATACATATACATATATCCCCATATCTCTTCCCTCTTGCGTCTCCCTCCCACCCTCCCTACCCCACCCCTCTAGGTGGTCACAAAGCACCGAGCTGATCTCCCTGTGCTATGCGGCTGCTTCCCACTAGCTATCTATTTTACATTTGGTAGTGTATATATGTCCATGCCTCTCTCTCGCTTTGTCACAGCTTACCCTTCTCCCCTCCCTGTGTCCTTAAGTCCATTCTCTACGTCTGCGTCTTTATTCCTGTCCTGCCCCTAGGTTCTTCAGAACGTTTTTTCTTTTTTTTTTAGATTCCATATATATGTGTTAGCATACAGTATTTGTTTTTCTATTTCTGACTTACTTCACTCTGTATGACAGACTGTAGGTCCTTCCACCTCACCACAAATAACTCAATTTCGTTTCTTTTTATGGCTGAGTAATATTCCATTGTATATATGTGCCACATCTTCTTTATCCATTCATCTGTCGATGGACACTTAGGTTGCTTCTATGTCCTGGCTATTTAGAGCTGCAGTGAATATTGTGGTACATGATTCTTCTCAAATTATGGTTGTCTCAGGGTATATGCGCAGTAGTGGGATTGCTGGGTCGTATGGTAGTTCTGTTTTTAGTTTTTTAAGGAACCTCCATACTGTTCTCCATAGTGGCTATATCAATATACATTCCCACCGACAGTGCAAGAGTGTTCCCTTTTCTCCACACCCTCTCCAGCATTTATTGTTTGTAGATTTTTTGATGATGACCAATCTGACTGGTGTGAGGTGACACCTCATTGTAGTTTTGATTTGCATTTCTCTAATGATTAGTGATGTTGCGCATCCTTTCATGTGTTTGTTGGCAATCTGTATATCTTCTTTGCAGAAATGTCTGTTTAGGTTTTCTGTCCATTTTTGGAATGGGTTGTTTGTTTCTTTGATATTGAGCTGTATGAACTGCTTGTAAATTTTTGAGATTAATCCTTTGTCAGTTGCTTCATATGCAAATATTTTCTCCCATTCTGAGGGTTGTTTTTTCATCTTGTTTATGGTTTCCTTTGCTGTGCAAAAGCTTTGAAGTTTCATTAGGTCCCATTTGCTTATTTTTGGTTTTATTTCCATTTCTCTAGGAAGGGGGTCAAAAAGGATCTTGCTGTGATTTATGTCATAGTGTGTTCTGCCTATGTTTTCCTCTAAGAGCTTTATAGTGTCTGGCCTTACTGTCCCCTGTTTCTTGTAGGCAAGACTCCAGCCTCTATGACCTTCCCTGAGTTCCAAAGGGTGGATTCGAACAAAGGCCGAGCAGCCAGGAGACCACCTGAGGCAAGATTAAAGGGACCAGAGCAGCTCATCAAGGTGAGGAGATGAGGTTAAAGGAGGGCAGGCCCTGCTCACACCCTCATCTTGTCAGAGACCCCACCCTTGAACCACTGTTATAAAACTCTTCATCCAGTCCTCTGGGGTTGGGACACACAGTTCTGAGGGCATTAGCCCGCTGTGGCCCCCTTTGCCTGGCAAAGTAATAAAGCTGTCCTCTTCTACTTCACCCAAAACTCTGTCTCTGAGATTTGATTCGGCACCAGTGCAGGGAGGCTGAGCTTTCAGCATCGTTTCTCATGTGCTATCACTTGCTGTCAGCATGGACTTCAAGGCTGGGAAGATAGAAATCCCCTCAGAGCTGACCCTCGGGTGCCCACCATGCCTTTATGCAGACTCCCCAGCCCCTCTGTGGCAGCTCTGGTCCACCTGTTTTCCTCATTGCAGTCAACAAATATTGATGGGGAAGCTCTACACCCCGGGCACTGGTGTGGGCTGGGCACACAGCATGAGCAAGGTAGACAATGTCCCTGCTCGCAAGACCAGGGGTCAGTTTACTGGTTCTGTAAGAAGCCAGATAGGAGGTATCTTAGGCTTTGACTCTGATATAGCAATTCTGTCACAACTACTCAACTCTACCCGTTAGTGCAAAAGCAGCCAGAGACGATAATATTTAACTACAAAAAAAAAGCCAGATTGGACCCCTGGCCATAGTTTGCCAACCCCAGCCATAGAGCTGACATTTTATGAAAGCGAGACCAAAGGAACAAAAACTAAGAAAACCGTAACAACGTGAGTAAACTCTGCCGAGAAAGAGAATAGGTCATTGGGTGGAGAGTGACGGGGAGGGTACTGCAGGCGGAGTGGCTGAGCAGACGTGTCTGAGGAGGTGGCGGGCACACTGAGTGCTGAGGGACAAAGGAGCTGGCCATGGTGAAAATCAGAAGGCAGAGCGTGCCAAACGGCCGGAGCCACAAGCCTCAGGGCCCTAAGGCTGGAGCAAGCTTCGGGTGCTTGAGGACTCAACAGGCGCACTGTGGCTACATTGAGTGGGCAGTGGTGGTCATTTGAGCTGATGCAGGAGATAACGGGTCCCCGCGTGTGGAGCTTTGCTCCCAGGGTGAGGAGTTTGTCTGGTCTTCTTCCCATGATGGAAAGCCACAGGAGGGGTTCCCCAGGAAGGGTGACATAATTCCTCTTTCCTGTCCCCATGGCAGGCCCAGACCCCAGGCTGAGGGATGTTCCTGCTCGATGGACCCCCTCTCCCAGGCCGGCCAGAGGGGCCAGGAGTCTGTGAGACAGGGTCTCTGGAGGGTACTCTTTGTCTGCCTAGAAAATCCTTTCTCTAGCATTTTGCCTGCTTCTCACTCTTACTTGAGCTTTGGTGGGGAGAGGTCAGCTATGTGGTGCCAGTATCTGGGGGCCAAACTGAGCTCAGGGTAACAAGTTCCCTGTTACCTCCATTTTTCTGGCCTGAATGCAGGTACCTCTGGTTCCACTGGTGGGGTCACATTGTCATCAAATGTTTGTCTGGTGATAACTATAATAATAACCACACCCATTATCACCACTTTGGGGGGTGCCCAAGCGACCAAGCAGCTCACTTGGTCACCCCCCAAATCCAGTACTGCAAGGGAAGTTATTATCCCCATTGTGTGGAGGAGGTCGTCAAGGCTGGGAGGCAGAATCCCCCAGAGATGAACCAGTGTTCTGTCCATGTGGTTCCTCCAGGGCAGGAAGACAACCCCATGTCACCTGAAAAGGGGCAGCTCTGCCCAGAGGGCATCCCTGCTCTGAACAGAGGACAGCAGGGTAGGGCCTGGGGGATGCACCGACCTGGGGCCCCGGAGGCCCGGGGGAGCTGAGCGACCCTTGCACGCATGGGGGCCGTGTGGTCTCCAGTTCCAGGACGAGATTCTTCATGTCTGGGGAGAGAAGCTTCAAGGCAAAGCGACACAGGTTACAGGTCAGACTTGGGGGACAGAAGAATGGTTACCTCCTGGACACAGACCTGTTCTATAGCCCAGCCCCTGAGGCTGGCGTTTCCCTGACACCCAGTGGGCATCTCAAGAAGGCGACCTCTGGGTCCCCAGTTTCCATTCTCTCATCTGCTCTGAGACGAACCTGGTTTGAATGGATTACAGAGAGATAATGACCTCTCGGATGGAGTTAGGAAGCTCACTCAGGGGCTTTTATCCAATGTCCAGGACAGCACCATCCAAGAGAAATATAATGTGAGCCACCAATGCGAGACATCCTATATAGTTCAAAATTTCCTGGTAGCCACATAAAAAAGGTAAAAGGAAACAAGTGAAATCAATTTTAATAAGTATTTTATCTTACCCAATATATCCCAAGTATTATTACTTCAATGTATATTCAATGTAAAAAAATTACTGAGATATTTTACATTCTTATAAAATGCATCCAATGTGTATTTTACACTCAGCACATCTCAACTGGAGCTGGTCACATAGGGCCAGTGGTTACTGTACTGGAGGGTGCAGGTCTAAGAGGTTCTGGAAAGATCTGAGCATCTCAAATCCCTGAAATGCCCTGGCCAGCTATCTTCTAGGTCAGCTTCTCCGACCCTGCTCTTTCCTCACCTTTTCCTCTCTCCCCACTTCCGTTCCCTCTCACAGGACTGTTTCCTGTGTCACCTCATGGATATGGTGTAAGTTCAGTTCGGGCTGTGGAAGGGAATTTCACAAGCACTTGGGGAGAAGAAAGACAGAAGGGAAAATTCCATGTCCGAGCCACTGATAGGAGCTTTATAACCAGAAAGTTATAAATTCACCTCAATGTTTTTGAGAGGATGGAACACCTTGCCAAGTCCAATTCCCTGCTGAGAAGCATTTCCCTTCATCACTTGTTTAAGGTGGTGGGAGAACAGACACGCACCAGAAACAGGTAAATGTCCAATCTGGGCTCCGCGTGCCACGTGAGGGCAGAGAGCTAGATCCCTCCGGACAGACTCCCACTGAGCAGTGGGGGAGAAGGTGAGCTGTGTGGTGGCCCTGGGACCTGCATGTCTGCTCTCTCATGAGCCCAAAGCTACTCACCGGACTTCGGCCCCCTCTGAAGAACGGTGGTGGGAACAGAGGGGGTGGCGGGGGGGTCAGCAGGCAGCATGCTCTGTGGCCGCCACGCTTCTTCTGATCCAGGCCGGGAAGGGCTGTTCAGAGAAAACAATGCTCATTAGCGTGGGGTCAGTGCTAGGGCCTCTGGGTGTCCACCGCGCCCGGGAAGACTGCGTCTCATTTTCGAGTCTCATTTCCAGGCTGTTGGGTGTGAGCACACCTCCTGCCTATACCTGATCTAGCCCTCCCCTGCCTTCACTGGATAAATGAACAGATGGTGTGGCCACTGTGACCATCACGAGGTCCAGGGTTGCTTCTCCAGACACTGACTGGTCACTCTGTAGATGGGACGAGGAATGCCAAGTTCAAACTTACTCATAAGGTACCCCCAACAGTTGGGGAGAAGGCAGTGTCTGTTAATACCCTTGATGCTGTGCCCAGAAGGAACTGTTCTGAGCGGGGAGGCAGCAGGGCTGGGGGCAGCGCTGATCAGACCCAGAGCCAGGATTTCAAACATAAATTTGACTCCAGACTCTACACAGACATTCGACGTCACCCATGCTCACTGGAGAGCTAAGGTTTAATGTCTCCAGACACAGGTGTGAGGAGATGAAGAGAGGACCCTGGATACTTACAGCTTCCTCGTCACATGCCCGTGTTCAGTGTTAGTACATGTTCAGTGTTGAAGTGTACCTGGCAGGAAGGACACGGATCCTAAGTGTACAGCCCACTGGATTCCTGCAAAGGGGACACACCCTAGAAGCCAGCACTTGGGTGGAGACACAGAACTCCCTGGCCTCTAGAAGCCCTTTCAGCTCCTGTCCAGTCTCTGCACTGCTCCCTGTACACCACCCTGGCTGCTAGCCCTGGGGAGTCCTTGTGCCTGTATTTGAACTTTATATGAACGTGAATTCTTGTGTCCTTCTTTTGCTCTACACAGTGTCTGTGAGGGGCTTCCTGGTCATTGCTTGTCGTTTTTATGCTGCTGAATAGGGTTCCTATTCAGGCTCATGCATTGGCTGGTGGGAGTGGAAATTGCTTCAACCTCTTTGGAAAACTCTCGGCATTGTCTACTAAAGCTGAACATAGGCACATACGATAGCTCGGCAACTCACTCCTAGGCGTTTACCGATGGAAAAGTGAGTATGTGTTCACCCAACACACGTACTAGAACATTCATAGCAGTGAGATCCATGATCGCCCAAAGCTGTAATTTTCCAGCTCCCAGTTTTGGTCTCGTGATGGTACCTCCATCTCCACCCTTTCTCCAAACCTCTGATCTCACAGAACATGGGCGGGTTTCCCCCCACCCCCTGCACTCCTCTTGCCCTGAACCCAGTTTTCAGTGTTGTCTCCCAGGGGACAGTGCTAGCCTTCTCTTTCCACCCTGGGATCCAGGACTTGCCTCACACACCAGGCAACCAGCAGGTGCTCCCCAGAAGGCACCTGGTGTGGGGCGGCTTGTGTCAGCTCCAGCGCCCCAGGAATCACTGCCCTGAGCACACCCACACCCTCACACCCAGCAGAGGAGCATCCACTGGCAGGGCCAGTGGTCCTCAGCGCCCTCAGACACAATGCCCCCATTGGCAAGGAACATTTTTAAAGACACCTTTGTTATCCTAAAATGAAATTCATACATAATACAACATACCTATACAATTAAAAAATCAATATAGTGCTCTGAATATAATATAAAAGAGAACTCTCAGAAAAGTGATTTATGATATAAACAGGCATATTTTGACTATAAGTGGTCAGGCACTAGCACATCAGGAAACATGATGATGTAGTTAGATGCTTGCACCTATATGCGAAACCGCAGTGAATGCACAAGGTGCAGTAGAGGCAACACAGATGCTTCAAGTGACGTGCCCGCTGTGCAATGTGATTTTCTCAAATGATGAAAAACACTGGGTAAAATCCCAACCAAACAAAGCACAGTCATTACTCAGCAGTTGTAGTCTCAGAAAACTCAGTTTCATACTACAACCGTTCAACAAATTTGATGTCAAAGAGAATTAGTTTCTAGGATGAGATAATTATACAGGGTATGTATCATCCATGTGACATTTCAAGTCATGTGGGACATGGAACCACTCTTCATGTATGATTCTGTCCCACTCTTTGCGGGAAACCTCTCACCTCAGCCACTGTGACAACTGAAAATGAAAATTTCCAACGTGGCCCCACGAAACACTCTCTGACATAAATTGTAGCAATGTTTTCTTAGGTCAGTTTCCCAAGGCAATAGAAATAAAAGCAAAAATAAATAAATGGGACTTAATCAAACTAATAAGCTTTTGCACAGCGAAGGAAACCATAAACAAAACAAAAAGACAACCTACAGAATGGGAGAAAATATTTGCAAATGATGCAACCAACTAGGGATTAATTTCCAAAATACACAAACAATTCATACAGCTCAACAAAAGTAAACCAAACAACCCAATCAAAAAATGGGCAGAAGACCTAAATAGACATTTCTCCAAAGAAGATATACAGATTGCCAATAGGCACGTGAGAAGATGCTCAACATCACTACTTATTAGAGAAATGCAAATCAAAACTACATTTCACACCAGTCAGAATGACCATCATCAAAAAGTCTACAAATAACAAATGCTGGAGAGGGTGTGGAGAAAAGGGAACCCTCCTACACTGTTGGTGGGAATGTAAATGGGTACAGCCACTATGGAGAACAGTATGGAGGTTCCTTAAAAAGCTAAAATTAGAGCTACCATGTGATCTAGCAATCCCACTCCTGGGTATATACCTAGATAAAACTCTAATTCAAAAAGATACATGCACCCCTACGTTCATCGCAGCACTATTTACAATTGCCAAGACATGGAAGCAACGTAAATGTCCACTGATGGATGGATAAAGAAGATGTGGTACATGTATACAATGGAATACTACTTGGCTATAAAAGAGAATGAAATAATGCCATCTGCAGCAACATGGATGGACATAGAGATTATCATACTAAGTGATGTAAGTCAGAGTAAGACAAATATATCACTTACATGTGGAATCTAAAAAAATGATACAAGTGAACTTATTTACAAAACAGAAACAGACTCACAGACACAGAAAACAAATTTATGGTTACCAAAGGGGAAAGATGGGGGAGGGATAAATTAGGAGTCTGGGATTAGCAGATACAAACTACTATATATAAAGTGGATAAACAACAAGGTCCTTCTGTATAGCACAGAAACTATATTCAATATCCTGTAATAAACCATAATAGTAAAGAATCTGATATATATATGTATATATCATATATATATATGAATATATATTCATATTCATATATATATATGAATCACTTTGCTATATACCAAAAACTAACACAACTTTGTAATTCAATAAAATACTTCAATAAAAATAAAAAAATAACAAACAAACAAACAAAATGGCCCCATTAGAAACTGTTGGCTTATCCCATGTTTGGAGACTGGCTTGGTCATGAACAGTCCACAGAATCTGGTTCCCACACAAAAGCAGCATCTGCCCCAGGCCAGGTAAGTTAACAAGGAACTGAGGGAATTCAGAGAAGCAAGGAAGAGGTGATGACCAGCTGGGAGGGACATGGGAGCCTTTCTGGAGGAGGTGGCATTCCTGCTAGCTCTGGAAGATTGGGGAAGATTCAGACAGGAAGTCTTCCAGACCCAGGAACTGTCTAGGGCAGTCAGGGGCACTAGAGCTAGGCCTTGAAGGACTGGATGGGGCACGGGTGATGGAGGAGGAAGGCTCCCCAGGCAGAGGGAGGAAAAGCAGGTAGAAACAACGTTCTATTCAGGCCACTTTGACTGCCAGAAGCAGAAGTTCATTCACACCGGCTCAGGTGGGAGAAAAGGGAGGTTCATCATAAAGCTGCCAAATGTTAGGAAGAGCAGGAACTGAAACTCCTGGCACTCCTCTTCTCCCCGCTCCTCTCTCTTCCCCTCTCCTTCCCCTCCCTCCCCTCTCTCCTCTCCCGCCTCCCACCTCCTCTCTCTCCCTCTCTCCCCCTCCCCCTCCTCTTCTCCCCCTCTCCTCTCTTATGCTTCCTTCTGTGCATCTGTTCATCCTGTCTTTTTTTAATTTCCTCTTTGATCTCTTCAGTGATCCATTGGTTGTTCAGCAGCATATTGTTTAGCCTCCACATGTTTGTGTTTTTTACAGTTTTTTTCTTGTAGTAGATTTCTAATCTCATAGTGTTGTGGTCAGAAAAATGCTTGATATGATTTCAATTTTCTTAAATTTACCAAGCGTTCCTTTGTGGCCCAGCATGTGATCAATCCTGGAGAATGTTTCATGTGCACTTGAGAGGAATGTGTATTCTGTGGCTTTTGGGTAGAGGGCTCGATAAATATCAATCAGGTCCAGCTGGTCTAATGTGTCATTTAAGGCCTGTGTTTCCTTCTTGATCTTCTGTCTGGATGATCTGTCCATTGATGAAAGTGGGGTGTTAAAGTCTCCCACTATTATTGTGTTACTATTGGTTTCTCATTTTATGTCTGTTAGTATTTGCCTTATATATTGGGGTGCTCCTATATTGGGTGCATATATACTTACAATTGTTATATCTTCTTCTTGGATTGATCCCTTGATCATTATGCAGTGTCCTTCTTTGTCTCTTGTAACAGTCTTTATTTTAAAGTCTATTTTATCTGATATGAGTATTGCTATTCCAGCTTTCTTTTGATTTCCATTTGCATGGAATACCTTTTTCCATCCCCTCACTTTCAGTCTGTATGTGTCCCTAGATCTGAAGTGGGTCTCTTGTAGACAGCATATATACAGGTCTTGTTTTTGTATCCATTCAGCCAGTCTATCTATGTCTTTTGGTTGGAGCATATAATCCATTTATATTTAAGGTAATTATCGATATGTATGTTCCTAGTGCCATTTTCTTAATTGTTTTGGATTTGTTTTTGCAGGTCCTTTTCCTTCCCTTCCTCTTTTGTTCTCTTCTCTTGTGACTTGACGACTAACTTTAATGTTGTGTTTGGATTCCTTTTTGTGTGCGTATCTATTGTAGATTTTTGGTTTGCAGTTACCATGAGGTTTTGATATAGCAGTCTGTATATAAACAAGATTGTTTTAA